GAATCAGCGTACTAAGTAAAGCTCACACACTGTGTTTTCTCCTCAGGTGGACGAAGAGGACTGCTCAGGCAGCGAGATAAAGACTCTGCGAGGTCACAGCGGCCCAGTGTTTCGTACTGCCTTCCTGACGGACAGCTCTGGCCTGCTCTCCTGCTCTGAGGACACGACCATCCGTTACTGGGACCTCGGCAGTTTCACCAACACGGCGCTCTACCAGGGCCACGCCTACCCGGTGTGGGACGTGGACGTCAGCCCCTGCAGTCTTTACTTCGCCAGCGGCTCCCACGATCGAACGGCTCGCCTCTGGACGTTCTCGCGCACCTACCCACTGCGGCTCTATGCCGGGCATCTCTCTGATGTCGATTGTGTCAAATTTCACCCAAACTCCAACTACCTGGCTACAGGCTCCACAGACAAGACTGTCCGTCTGTGGAGCACCCAGCAGGGGGCATCAGTTCGCCTCTTTACAGGCCATCGGGGCCCTGTGTTGTCACTTGCTTTCTCTCCTAATGGGAAGTACATCGCATCAGCTGGCGAGGACCAGAGGGTGAAGCTGTGGGACTTATCGTCAGGGACTTTGTTTAAAGACCTGCGAGGACACACAGACAGCGTCACCAGTCTGTCCTTCAGTCCGGATAGCAGCCTGGTTGCCTCGTCATCTATGGACAACTCAGTCCGGGTTTGGGACATTCGGAACTCCCACAGCGGGACGCCAGCCGACGGCTCGTCCAGTGAACTTGTGGGACTCTACACTGGAAACACCAACAACGTGCTTAATGTCCAGTTCATGGCCTGTAACCTGCTGCTGGTGACGGGAACTGCACAAGAGAAAACAGAGCAGTAGCCTAAGCTGTCAGCTGTTGAAAAGGTCTCAGATTTTTCTTTGAAGATGTGGCCTCCAGTCTGACTTTGCAGACAGACACTGAGACGTCTCATGTCACCACTTGCACTTGCTTCAGACTTTTGTTTTTCTTGTTAGTTCTTGGCATAGAAAAGAAGCAAAGTACTCCAGAAGTTTAGATCCTTTAACCTGGCTCATATGTTCATATACAGATAAACTATAATTTGTCTTTGATAGTATTTTCTGTTTTTTCAATAATGCCAGTATAAAATAATTAATCTGTTTGACTTGGAGGTCAAAAACTGTTTACTCTGCTGCCATGCACAATTGTTATCTATAAAGGCTGCAATGTGTCTGTTTGATAATAAATGATAACTCTTATCGTTCAGTTTAACCCTTAAAGGAAAGAATGATGTTTAAGTTGTGACCCTGAATAAGTATTTCAAGATTAACGGGTGGACAGGATATTTGAGGACCCTCTGAAGTAAAGAGTTGCACCTTCTTTACCACCACTCAAGTGTTGCTCTGCCCCCTTAAGTTACATTATTCAGCTTGCGTTAAGGAATTTGAGAAGCACACGTTCAGAAATGCAGATTCAAAAGCTTGACAGACAGACTTAAACTGTCACAATCACTTTCATTGGTTTTCAAAGGTTTTTGGGAGCTGAGACTCGTGTAGGCTTAAGTTGGAGTTTGGTTTGTTGCTGAACCAAAAAAGGGAAAATAGATATGTTTTCATTCTTTGTAACCAAATCAAATTTGAATGAACATTTTTGTGAGATTGTCTTTACAGTTCTCTGTTTTGCTTGACCGCCCAGAGACAGTACCTTTTCTATGTGTTTGGTTGATCCATTACAAACACAGCAAAATAAATCCTGCTCCTGAGTGTTTTTGAGTGTAACATGCAGCTCCAAATCAATTTGCTGGTGGACAAATCTACATGTACCAGAACTTTCAGACATGTAGTCAACATTGGTTGTGTTATACCGGCTGAGGTCAAAGAGTGTTCGAGGGAAATGAAGAGCGGGAATACACCAGAACAGGAAGATTTTGGTTGTTATTGGTTTGTCTCTGAGTTTCTTGTTATAGATTTGATGAACACTTTGTAAATATCTCTGTTGTGGACATTTCTCAGAATTAAAGGATTTATATTGAATAATATCCTGCGAGCGGTATCAAATGTGCAATGCTTGAAAAGTGTAACTATTCTGACTTTTTGTAATATTTGATCTACCAAGACATTGCTGTTGACTTCTAAATAAGGGCTAAGAAAAAGAGGCTGGTTTAATAAATGATTTCTGATCTGTTTCATACATTCAAAGAAAAAATGATTCACAAAACAATGTAGGAACAGAGGATTTTTGGATGCATTTAAAAATGACTAAATAAATAAAAAAGTCTTACATTTTATTTATATAGCACATTTTTTGCAACAAGGCAATTCAAAGTGATTCACACAAGACATCCAAAGCTCAACAAAGAAGAAAATAAAAACATTAAAATAGATAATAAAGAAATGAATCTAGTGTACAAAGAAGAAAAATCAATAAAGCATATGATTCATTCTTACAAATATTTGAGTCATATGATACAAACCGCTGGATAAAGCAATACAACAGTAACCAAAGACATGCTGATAATCTAAGGATTACATAATGCCTGCAAAAAAAATAAAATTACATTATACAGGGACGTTATAAAGTAGAGAACTATTGAGGCAGAGAAGAGATATAAAAACAAGTTAACTGTCCTATAAAACTAAACCAGTCAGTAGCATTATAATAGAATATCTGGTAATAAGAAATCAGACAACACTAGACTACATAATGCTGCTAGAAAACTCATGTAAACTATATCAGAGATAAGCTTTCTTGAAACATTGCAGCAATGGGAGAAAAAAAAAGACATTGCTGGATCCCCACACCTGTGCTGTCAAGTTTTTTTTCACACATGCACTCCTGAAAATGTTAAAATTTCAGATGGCTTGCCCCTGAAAATCTTGAGTTGCTTATTCACACCTCTTCCCAGCGTGAAATATTCCCTGTCAGACGGGAGGGTTGGGGGCTCAGGAGGTCAGACATGATGTGAAAAGGACCCATCAATGTGACAGATGACAAACATATGATGACAGTTTTTCCCTTTGAATCACTGCTGCATGTCATTGGACCAATTAACAGTATCAATAAAAGTGTGGGGATAACATACTGGTGAACAGAGAAGATTATGAGGCATCTTTATAACATTCCAACCCAACCGGTCGCATGATATAAACGTCATGTCTCGCTTGCTTGGTGTTCATTTTTCTAGATGCTTCCTGGACATCAAGCAAAAATTCCAGATAAAGTTTGGGGAAAAAAATGGTCTGTTTAAGCTCAACCTGAAAATGTCCTTTTCAGGAGTTTTGTGCCTGCATGTGTGAAAACAACTACCAACCACAAGCAGGTGGAATGTGTGGCTGCAGATAGCGCTGTTGTGTTTGTTTTTTCTCAAATCCTTACATCATCAATTAAAAGAAAATAATGTGGCACTTTTGATTTGTAAGAATACTTTTCTGCACTCTTACAAAAGTAATAAAACTGAGTATTATTAACCTCGCCAGGGTGGGCGAAGAAAAAAAAGCTGATAGAGAAATCTGCATTCCTGTGTTGTTTAGGCTGTTGCAGTTTCTCACATTTATTAGTTAAGGTCACATTTATTCCCAAAAGGACTCCCATAAGCCATTTTAGAGAGTCCTTTTTAATCAGAGCATAAGGAACAAGCAGTCCTCACATATGTTAATCGTAGAGAACAACATATGTAAATGCATAGTCATGTTCAGCTATGTGAGGAATCCGGAGATAGCGCAGCAGGAATGTGGATGTTGTAGCTGTCAGAAAGGAGTACTGAGTGTCATACTGATGTGGGTGGGTGGCAGGGTGCAGCAGGGACGATGTTCGCTAACATTGACTCTGTCTGCACCGCTGAGAGACACACAAAGAGGGAGGAAGGGGAATAGAGTGTATTATAACTATCATATGTAACCATGGCCAGTTCCAATAATAATATTCCCCCGTGCATAAACATAGAAAAGGCCCCTAACCCGAGCTTTACAAGAGCAGGACAGGAAGGTGAAAAGAGACGTGTTTGTGACTGTTCTTTCTCTGTTGTTGTTTTAACTCTGTTTGTGGCAGTGTTGTGTCTCCTTTTCGTCATTGTGCTTCTTTGGTGTGATGTGAGCAAGTTGTAAGGTTGAAATAGTTGAAATATTGAATGTTAGGAAACCATCAAAAGATGTCACAGATTTACAACATCACAGTATACAGAATAAGAACAACTGAAAGACAACTATCAGTTACATTCTTCTTTAAAGGAACAAAAATTCCCAATTTGCTAGAATACAATGTATGCTCTTAACTCTAGAAGAGTAGATTCAATACAATGAATGAGGAAGTGAGGAAGAGTTCATAGCATATTGCAACCCGACTCTGTCATTTTGCAGCTCTTTTCGATATCTAATTGTGAAAAATATTGAAAATATGTAGTACCAAAGTACCAAAAGTTGTCAGAAAAATTCAAAGGCATAACGTTTCAATATTTGCTTTGAATGCAGGGGTAAGCTTGCAAGGCAATTCATCTATAGCACATTTTAGCAAGATTTCCACAATAGGGATATTACAAATTTATCGTATCATCTCATGTTGTGTCATGTTAAAACGTATTGCATCGCATTATATCATATCTCATATTATCATAATGTATGATGTTTTATTACAAAGCTGTGTTGAATATTTGATTCTGATTGTCCTATCATGAACTTTTAAGGTCTGCCATTTCTGTTTGGTACATAAGTGAATGAGTAGATTTACTCGGTTACATTCCTTTAATGACAAGCTTTACACAGGAAGCTTCATTCTGTGAAAAGTTCCAGTGTAAAGGAGCAAGAACACTTTTGTGGTCCTTGAAAACCAAACGTTTCTGTTTAGAGACAGTGATTTGAAGGAGAACAGTTGTCCTGTTGTCAAGTCATCAGGTATGGATTGTTGCACTTTTCTGCAGGCCAAACCCAAAAACAGAGAGATAAGAGTCAACAGAGTGTAATAGAGAGAGAGAGTCAGCAGGGGCGAGGTTCAGCAGGTGCGGAAGGACAAACCAGTTTCTGTCTGGAGGGTGTGTACCAGCCC